CTCCAGGAGGTGTGGGTGGACTCGGATGCGCACGTGCTGGCCTCGGCGGCTGCCCAAGGGGGCCTGCCGTACTCGATGCACTTCCGCTCGGGCGTCTTCGGCAGCGGCCTGCTGACTCTGTCCAGGTGGGGTGGGTGGGTGGGTGGGAAACCTTGTCCTTCTTGGGAGTGCAGCTAAGACGAAGAACCCCAATCCTATAACCCAAAAACCCAAAAACCAAACTTTCGCAGGTTCCCGATTACGGAAGCGGTGTTTCATCAGTACGTCTGTGCGGGTGGGTTGGCCGAATGAGCCTCATAAGGCAACATAAGGCCCCATGGAGCATCGTTTGTTTGTAGGGTTGGCGCCGTAAGGGTCAGCGAACGGGGGAGGGAGGGAAGGAAGGAGGGGAAGAGGGAGGGTTGGCGCGCGGGATCGGCCCGAAGGGGTGGTGGTGGGTGTGGTTGGCTTGTTGTGGGGTTTGTGATGTCTTCTGTTTCCTGGGTTCGTGCGTCATACGTGCGTCGTACGGGGCTGGGCACCAGCGTATGGGTTAGCGCACAACTGGCACAAAGCACGCCAGACACAGCACACGAACTGACGAACTGACGCACGGCGAGCGCTCCTCGACTGGGCCCCATCCCCTCCCCTTCCACCCCCACCCTGTGGCCTGTGCCGGCTGCCGGGTGTCCCCTCCCGAGGGGGATGGGGGTCTCCGCCCGCGTAACTATTCAAATGCCCCCCGAAACCAATCGTCATGTGTCGTACGTGTCGTACATGCAGGTGACCCGGCCGCCATCACCTGCGGAGACTTCCTGGCGGCAAAAGGTGGGTTAGGGCGGGTGGGTTAGGGTGGGTATGGGTGGGTATGGGTGGGTATGGGTGGGTATGGGTGGGTATGGGTGGGTATGGGTGGGTATGGGTGGGTATGGGTGGGTATGGGTGGGTATGGGTGGGTATGGGTGGGTTAGGGTGGGTTAGGGTGGGTGGGTTAGGGGGGCGGTTAGGATGAGACCGCCCACCAGCAACAGCTCTTTTCGAAATCCCTTTCCTCCCCGCCCCGCCGCCCCTCCGCGCTACCCCACGCCTCGCGATGCCTACTCCTACCCAGCACCCACCCTACAACTCCTACCCCCGCTCCACCCACCTCACCCCACGCCACCCTCCCTCCTCCCCCTCCTCCTCAGGTGTGGGTTGGACCCGCCTGTCCACCCCCTCGGGGCCCGTGGACGTCTTCAACACCCACCTGCACGCAAACTACTCACACAAGTACGGCAATCGTACGACAACAACAACGGCCTCGACCAGCGACGGGCTGGGTGACGGCGACGTGCCGCCACCGGCGGTGGACGAGTTTGCTGCCTTTCGAATGGCGCAGGTATCGTACAGTCGTACACATACGGTTGTTCTATTTGTTGCTTGTGTCGTTTGTGCGAAGGAAACGGTGCGGAATGGAATGGGATGCCTTGGAGTGAAGGATGAAGGATCTTAACCCATCCCACTCACCCACCCACTCCGCACCCTACGCCCCCTCGCCAACGCCGTCTCCGTCCCTCTCGCTCCGGGGCACCTTCTTTCTTACCCCTCAGCTACTTTTCCCTCTTTGACTAACCCTTCCCTTCCCCCTTCCCTTACCCCCCCCCCCAATGTGTGCCATTGTACCCGGTGTGTGTGGATGTTGGCATTTGTGTGTGTGTAACTGTGCGTGTAACTGTGTATGTACGGGTTGTACTTCAGGTTTTGGAGCTCAGTCGCTTCGTCCGCCACGTCAGCACCGGGGCGGGAACCCCCGGGGGTGGCCTGGGAGGTGGAGGTGGAGGTGCAGTGGGTTTGGTGCTGGCGGGAGACCTCAACTGCGAGCCACACACGCTGGAGGCGGCGGTGCTGCGGGTAGGTTGGTTGGTGGTTGGCTGTTTGACGGTTGGTTGACGGTTGAGCAACTGTTCCCTCCCTCCCTCCCTTCCCAGGGCCTCAACTCCGCACCCATCCCAACACCGACTCGACCCCATTTCCTCCCAACACACACTGCCCCCCCCCACATCTCCTCCATCCTCCCGCGCCCTCCCTTTCTCCCCCACATCTCCCCCTCCCTGAACCCCCTCCCAACTCCTCTCCCGAAGGCCCCACCACGCCTCCCTTTCCCCACCGCGTTACACACCCACACACAAACACAAACACAAACCCACATCCGCACCCCCATACACCCACACGCAGGCCGAGCTGCCGCAGCTGCACGACGCGTGGTCGGTGACCCACGGGTCGGCGGACCCGGGCCACACGTGCAACGCGGAGGGCAGCAGCTACAAGCCGCGGCGGCAGCGCGCCTCCCGGATCGACTACCTGCTCACCAACCTTCGGGTGGCGACGTGCGAGCTGGCGCTACAGGTGGGGTGGGGGCTGGGGGTTCAGGGAGTGATATGCTCCTTCATAAAACAATGGGGGGCTGGGGGGTGGGTGGGTGGGGTGGGTGGTGGGGGGAGACGTGGGGGATGGCGGTCTTGGGGGGGAGACGTGGGGGAGGCCTGGGGGGACGGGGGAAGAGGGACTGGCGTGTCGTTTTTTTTTGAACGTGTTGGGGTTTAGGGCCCTTCGGAGACGGACCCGCCCCCCCTCCAGGTAGATTTGTTTATATCTTGCTTTCCTTTTTTCTCGATTTCGGATCTGTATGACACCATTTCCGCCTCCCTTTCAACCTCCCCTCCACCATTCAACCCGCATCGGCCCCCACTTACGGCCGTCATCTCCCACCGCCGCCGCCGCTATCCACCGCCGTTGGCTCCAGAGGACCCCGGACGGTCACTCCTTCTCCGACCACATCGCCGTCAAGGCACGACTGGAGCTGCCTTCCGCGACTGCCGCCGCCGCCGCCGCGGCGGCGGCGGCGGCGCCATCTGCCGCCGCCGACGGCGACGCCACGGCCGTACGGCAGCGGCAGCGGCGGGCGGAACTGCTGGTGGCGGCCCGGGGGGTGCTCCAGGAAGGGGTGCAGAGAGCGTCGCAGGCGTCGGCGGGGCACGTGCTGTTTGCGATCATCATGATCGTACAGGTACGACAGCATACGGCAGCTTGTCGTACGGCACGTGCCATACACGACGGCAGGGGTTGCGAGTTCCGGAGGGCTTGCCTGGGGAGAGTCGGGTGAGGGGGAGAGATGGGGTTCGCTGTGCAGTTTCGGTGGCTGGGTGGGTGGGTGATAAGGGGTATTGGTTGAGGTTCCGGCCCTTCTTCTTTTGTAGGCAGCGATAAAAACCCTAAAACCCAAAACCCAACCCTTTACAATATGAACAGGAAGCGGCTCTTCCGCTTCACCTCCACCTCCACCTTTGCCCCCTGCCCTGCCCTGCCCTCCCCGCCCCCCGCTTCATGTCACCGCCTCAACCTCCCCTTCCTGCCGCTTGCACACAAAATGCGTGTGTCCCCCCCCTCGCAGGCCGTGTTGCTGTGCGCCTTTGAGCCCGCCATGTCGTACATGGGCCGTACACTCAACCCCGTCACGCGGCAATTGGTGCCCGCTGCCGTACTGTTGCTGGCGGGCGGTGCGGGACTGTTTTTCCTGACGGGCTTAGTGGCGGATGGTGGGCAGGTTCGTGCCCTGCAGCAGGCACTGCAACAGATACAGCTAACGGTGATGGCCGCCGGTGGCGGCGGCGGCGGCGCCGCCGCCTCCGCGGCTCCCGCCGCCGCCGCCGGCGGGGCAAAGCCACAGAAGACGCAGAAGAGGCGCTGACGGAGGCGATCGTGGGGACAGTAGGTACAGTGGCGGCGACGGCGGCGGCGGCGAGTGACGGCTGGCGTCGGCGCAGGCAGGCAGAGGCTACTAAACTGCCGTACAGATACTGTACGGCAAGTATTGCGAGCGGATGGCGGGCGCGGGGGCGGGGTGCAGGCGTGGCACGTACAGCAACGTATGGGAGAGGAACCCCCGTCTTGTGAATCGGATCGGATCGGATCAGACAAACCTTACGGCAGGTATTCTGTTGTACTGCCGTACGTTTGGCGCTCGCTGTGTGTATGTGTGTATGCGTGTGTGAATGCGCGCGCTCGCGCGGGGGAGGCGACGCTCGCGCGCTGGGTGTGTGTGCGTGCGTGCGTGCGTGCGTGCGTGGACACGGGTGTGGTCCTTCCCGTGGTGATGGTGGTGGGGGGCCGGGCAGGGTGCCCCGCATTGCAATGGTGACGCTACTGTGGGCGATGAATCTGCGGGATCCAGACGGTTATGGTGGCGGCGGCAAAGGCGGAGTGCGGAGTGGGCCCTCGCGCATCGGTGTGTGCGATCGGCGGTCTGAATGACGGCGGAGAGGCCGCTTCCGGAGCAGTGTTCTGTAGCAGCAACCGAGACCCAGTAGACCCGATCGATTCCCGTTAGACTCGATAGACTCGACAGCGAACCTAACCTATACAACACCGAGCGGTCGCGTGTTTGTTGTAACGTAACAAATGTACAGATGTGCAAATGTGCGTATTGCATATTGTTGCCGGAATCGTAATATCATAACATCTGACAATTTCCTCTTATGTTTGATTATACACGCATTGCCGGTGTGTGCCTCGGACAGGGCGGAAAGGGTTGACAGGACAGGTCGGCTTTGTTCGGCCGACCTGTCAGTCACGTGTCACCCCTCTGCTGCCGTCCATCCGTCGCCTGCCCGCCGTGATGTCGCCAAATGCCTGCACCTGTAATTCATTCAGCTGCTTGGCTAGGGGTTTTTTGGGGGGACCCTCCCATTCCACGTCATGCCGTGGGAGACTTGCAACTGGGGCGCGTGACTCGCGGCCACTAAGCCATGAACAAACAAGATGGCCGTCTGAGACGTAGCGATGTGGCCGAAAGGCGGCGCGGAATGTACGCGCCGACTGAACAGGTTGGCTCCTGTCCGCCGGCTGAACAGGTTGGCTCCTGTCCACTCATTTTCCCCACGACGCACCCCGTAAGCCATGATGACGTAAACCTCGGAAGCTTAAAGTCACGTATCAGTAACGCATGTTTAGCCTTTTGTCATCCAGGTTTCAGTCCCGAGATAGCTCGGTTAGCTCAGTCGGTAGAGCGTACGGCTGTTAACCGTAAGGTCGACAGTTCGAACCTGTCATCGAGCGCGTGTGGGGTCGTAGCTCAAATGGAAGAGCGCCCGCTTAGCATGAGGCTGAGCGCCGCAGAACATGCGGGAGGTAGGGGGATCGATGCCCTCCGACTCCAACATTTTGACGATGATGACGTCCTTGTCGGCCATGCCTGCAGATATATGAGCCACCCGCTGTCCGAGACTAGCTTTGGCTCCTTCCCCGTTGAGGTCGGCTCCAGACCCTAACCTTGGAAGGAGGGCACAGCCAGCACGACTGAGCTTTGACCGTGTGCTGCAGCGGACATGACCCCTGCAACACGACTAGGGCAAGGCAAAGGAGAAATGCTTGCTGAGGCAAGACAAGGCCCTAAGTCGCCAGGAAAGACAAGCCCTAAGTCGCCGCGAATTTGACCCGGGAGGAATTGCTCGTGTGCCCGCGGCCACGGCAGGATGAGCAGTTAGTCTGCCCGATTGGCGACGCGCCACTGGGAGCCAATCGCATCGCCGAAAGTCCGATGTTCGACTGCAGGCCCATCCTCGGCCGCGCCGTAAGGCCGTATGCGTGAAAGGGCGGGATTTTGGTCGGCGCGCTCATCACTCTCGCGATCTTCAGGCGGTCGTTACCTGCAACTCACACGCCCCATCTTCCCCCACCGAAAGCACACCAGCGCTTGATGCAGACCCTTGGATTTGAGGGCCTTTGAAAAGCGACATATCACCCTAATCGCTTGCCTTCAGCAGGGAAACTTTTCATCCTGTGGAATCGACGGCAAGCCTGGATTGCTGGATACCTTTGACGCGGAAAGTGCGGTACATGGTAGCGTGGGTCTCAGTAACCTCCAACCGCGTGTGTACACAGCCTTGGGAATTTTTATTACAGAATGCTACCGGCTTGCAGTTGAAAAAGTACAACAGTGCGCAAGTAGGTTGTCTCCCAGCAGCCCCTTGGGCGGTGTCGCACCCAATGCATGCCACTACCTGATGCCATCTTGGCGAGCACCTACTAGCTTAGATGGCTTGCTGGGTTTCTTTCCGTAGCCTGCCAGTCTAGCTTTCTCGGACTGTAACCATTTACTTACTTGTATGCCACAGCTTTACTGGTTCACGGCACGTTTATCTAGCGACGTATCTAACTTGGCCATCAACCTTCTGCGACACGTTTGTAATCCCATAGATAAAGGTTTGAGGCTTCTATCAAAACGTCCTCGCCCTGAAAGGTGGGTTGAAAGCCTGGAACTTCATCAGACGAAAGCCTAAAACTGACAAAACCAACTGGCAGTTGCACTTTTGGCAAGCGACCGAGCCGCGTTTACAGATCCGACACAACGACCAGAATGCCTCATTTGCAATGCCACATGCACTGGCACCTGGCATCTCACGCCTCAGTGACTCGGTGGTGGCCCCCGATGCCCCGAATGCGCCTCGCTTAGGCAAGGGCACGAGGATTACCGGGCCGCCCTTAGTACTTAAGATTGCTCCAAAAATACGCTGATGTTTATGAAATATACTACTGCCGAGGTGATCAGGGCCCACAGCGAGCTGATGATCCCTGTTTAGGTCGACCGGAAGGTCCTTCTCAACGCTTATAAACAGGATATGCGAAGAAGGGTTACCTAACGATATTGCGAGACTGCATAATAGAACATACAAAACACGGGGAACCTTGGGCTTGCGAATTGTCGTCGGTATGCAAGCTTGAAGCAGCGACCATTGGCGCCGTCAAACCCTCCAGCAATGTAGGGGTGTTGCAGCATCTCGTGTGCTTGCCGTTTTGATGGTCAAACAGCCCGGCCCGAGCGCTGCGATCAAGGTTCCGTACGATTCGGGGGCCCTGTGCATCGCTGCAAGCTTAAATATCCGAGCGTGCATCCTTGTAATCACACAAGAACTTCGGTCCAGAGTCAAGTGTCATATCGTACATTTTAAAATGGCCGCCATTATGAAGTCCGCTGTGCGCAGCTCCGTGCGCCCCACCATTGCCAGCCGGGTGAGTCGCGACATCTCGCGGAAGCTGCGTCCCAACTATTCATCTCGGGAGATCCTTGTCAAGCTACTTATAATGGAAGGACTAACTGGCTTGGGCTCTGGATTACTTGTTCCGCTTAGTCGTCTTTTCTCGGAGATTCAGTTTTCGGTTGCGACGTTTGAGCCTGGCTCCATCGCTAAGCCCGCCGGTGCTGTTCCCTGCTGGTCCGCTGTCCACCTCATTGCTTGCAGGCTGCCCGCGTTGTGCCTCGCGCGGCCATTGAGTGGTACGGCCCTGACCGGCCGAAGTTCCTGGGTGAGTTCGCGGCAGCCTGGGTCATACGGGCGGGGCAGGGGGATGATGTGCGGCCAGCTCAGACGCGATCTGCATACTGAGAGCCCCTGGCAGCCTGGCGAAGCTTACGTTTCTTGGAAGGGTTCGGTGGGGCTCCCCTAAAGGGCAAACGTCCTCAATGGTTGTTCGATGGTGTCTCGGATTCTTCGACCCTACAGCTATTATAGCTCGCTGTCTCCTTTCCGCCGCTGTCTTCACCTCTCGCCCTGCCCTCCCCCTTTGCCTTGCCCCTCCTCGCTCTCTTCTCTTTCCTGTTTGTCGTCAGGTCCCTTCTCCGAGGGCGATGTGCCTTCCTACCTGACCGGCGAGTTCCCCGGCGACTACGGCTGGGACACCGCCGGTCTGTCCGCCGACCCGAAGACCTTCAAGCGCTACCGGGAGCTGGAGCTCATCCACGCGCGCTGGGCCATGCTGGGCGCTCTGGGCTGCATCACCCCCGAGCTGCTGTCCAAGTACGCCGGTGTGCAGTTCGGCGAGGCCGTGTGGTTCAAGGCCGGCGCTCAGATCTTCGCTGAGGGCGGCCTCAACTACCTGGGCAACGAGAACCTGGTGCACGCCCAGTCCATCATTGCCACCCTGGCTTTCCAGGTGTGAGGGGCGGGAGGAGAAGCGGGGAACGGGGCATGAGTTCAGGGTTTGGATCCGATTCGGGCCCGATTTGGGTTTTGTTTGGAAGTTGGCAGAGGATGTTCAAGCTGGGTATTCGTGAGGCGGTCGTTGGGTCCGTTTTTGGTTTCTGCTTCGTCTGCAGTGCGTGTGCATTACCCCGCGCACTACCCCTGCCTCGTTGCCGTCTTCCCGCACAGCACAAAGCAAACCTCACGCATCCTGAATGTCCTCGCGCCAACCCTTCCTTCATTTCTTGCGCCCCTCCCCGCCCCCCCTAAGGTTGTCGTGATGGGCCTGGCTGAGGCCTACCGCGCCAACGGCGGCCCGCTGGGCGAGGGCCTGGACCCGCTGCACCCCGGTGGCGCCTTCGACCCCCTGGGCCTGGCTGACGACCCGGACACCTTCGCCGAGCTCAAGGTCAAGGAGATCAAGAACGGCCGCCTGGCCATGTTCTCCATGTTCGGCTTCTTCGTGCAGGCCATTGTGACCGGCAAGGGCCCCATTGAGAACCTGAACGACCACCTGGCCAACCCCTCGGCCGTCAACGCCTTCGCATACGCCACCAAGTTTACCCCCTCTGCGTAAATCAATCTGTGGGGAAGGGTGCCCGGGCGTCGTTTTGTCCTGAGCGGGCCGCTTTGTCCTGAGCGGTGTTTGGTTTTTGGTCCTGGCCCCGGCCAGCCCCGCTGCGGGCTGCTGGATGGCTGGGATTTGTTGATAGATTAGAAGTCTGCGCGCATTCTGTGATTACCTAGGTAGGTTAGGTTGGCAGGAACAGGAACAGGCAGTTTTTGGTTGTACTGGTGTGAGCACACCGGTATTTTTCCGAGGATAGATGTTGAGCTGCTTGCTGCTAAAGTGCAAACTGCAAAGAGCGGAGCGGGTCTTTCGGAGCGGGTTGTAACACCCCTACTCCCGTTGCGTCACGTACGGCAACAGAGTACGAATTGGGGGGTCCCCGTTGGCCAATACACGACTAGTGCAGCGTGTGTTGTCCCGCGCCCCTAGATTCGTTGTGGTGGTTACAGTTACAGTGGGCTCCAGACTCCAGAATTTCATTGTACTGGTGAACTATGGTGGTTCTGGATTGGATGGCCTTCTAGGCTCTCTGGTACGGTAGGTTACACACACACTCGCCCGAATCAAGGGATGTAATCATCTTTGTGCTTCGAAATCCCCACCTCCATACCTCCCTCCTCCCTCGTAGTAAACTCATTTGATCCAAGCGAGGATCATTGCTGATACCAGTTCGTTTTCAAAGTCACCCATCCCACACCCGAAGCATCAGCGTGGATGCATCAAATTGTAAAATCCCGAGCAGCTTGCACGTCTGCCTTTCGCTGACCGTTGTACCTGCATGCGCGGCGCGGCCCTGTGCGGAACATGTGAGTAACCCCCTTCAGCTTGTCGGGTATTGAGCTGGGTTTGGGGTCGGGGATACACTTCCTCTCTTCATGGGTGCCGCACAGGGCGCGGAACTACTCCCGAGACGCTGCCGCAAGCCCCGCCCTGTCGTACATGAAACTTGAGAAGTTGGCCTACCGTTGGCGAAAGCGTTATGGCCACGAGCTTCCTAGCGGCTGGGACGGGCCACTCCACCGCAGCACGTTCCTGGGCAGTCAGGTGTCACGCCATATCGTGTGATTGCCATAGAACGTGGAGATGCTGAGAACAGTTGCCTAATTAGTAAGAACCGTTGTCGGTTAGTTAGGAGCCGTTGGGTGTGGCCCCTTCGGATCAGCTTCCGTGCACCGTTTCCGTGCGACGACAGAGTCGTCGACACTTTGTTGTTATTACATTTATTTGTTGGCATTATACGGGGCACCGACTGAGCAAGAAGCAATGCAGTGCGGGTTCCCCTGGAGGTACGAAAAGTGCATTGCGCGGGCTTGTTATAGTCCGGCGGCCGTGCGAGACACCTTATCTGTGTCTCGCACTTTGCAGTGTTAAGACTCTAAGTAGCATACAGTCACAGATCCGCGATTGACAGACCGCGTGACGCAGTCTTTGTAAGTTCTTTCGGTGATCCGTTTCGGTAATCCGTCCTCCGAGGAGGACATCGTGCCCAGGTCGCCCTAGGAGAGAGCTGCGTAGCTCGTCTCCCG